CTGTCAACGCTCTCTGGTTTCATTTAAAAGAGTCGATCATCAGATATTGTCCAAGATTAACCTTCAGGGTGGATATAGCTCGCTAGCAGCCTCATGCCGATGACGTAGTTGATGTCATCATTTACCCAGAATGCTTTGCGTGTAAATAAAATGGCTCCGTCCRTGTTAAAATGTATTTAAAAAAATTACAAACTAAACAGCCTACAGTATTTTTACAGTCTTTGTTTTACAGTTAAAATAAATTTTTATCAAATAAAGTTTAATGTTACAACTAATCGTGGAYCCCTTTAAGATAACAGTAACATGATGGTTGAGATTCTTTATACCAGATTGCCTCAGACTAGTTTGAAATAGTCTTAATATTTAAAGCTACTGTAAACAACAATTAAATATTTAAGACYTACACAAGCCAATTCACAGCAAAGTGGAGGACAGAGTAACAATCTCCATACTTGAAGCCTCCAGTTCTTGTTTAAAGATTAACTAAAGCTAAATTTCCCTGATGATGCTGCTGGCTTTACCTCCACATACGTGTCTCCTCTTTGTTTCKGTCATCACCATTCAGTCCCAGGTTCTCAGGAGCCCGATCAGTACCTGCAGGGCTACACAGGAGGAGGAGGCGGGCTAGGAACAGGTAACAGGTTATCCCCCCTCCCTGCACCGCTCCATGGTTCTGTCATTAGCTACTACCATCCCAACGGCCCCTCGGGACCCTTCCAGCTCTGCCGGGMCACAGGAAAGACAGCCATCCAATCAGCTCCAACCACCAGGCCTCCAGCTGCTCAGGACCCAAACGCATCATCCTGCGGTGCTCTGGGATTGTTCGCCATCAATATTAAGAGCTCAGTAATGCACTGCGTCATCAAATCACACTAAATGTTTGTCCAGCCTCGAAGACAGGCAGCTGATCTTACAGGAAACTCGTCTCACACACAGACWGCCATCGCTTCAAACAACATCTACAAACTGAGTCAATCCAACATCCCAAGAGACGATGCTAATCTGCATCAGTGGGGGGGTCRTGTCAGCAGCACACAGCTCAACAGGTGGGCCTCAGAACAAACCACATGTGAAACTCACTACATGCTGCATTTTATTGATGCAGCTTGTTTGTTTGCTGTCACACCCGTGTTCCCCCTGCGCCTGCTCTCTGCTGGGAGTCCAGCATCTGCAAAAACCAGACCAGACCCAGAAAACCTTTAAACCTCTGCTCCGTCTGCGCAAAAACTTCATCTGGGTCTAAAACGGTTCTGAGCAGAGGTTGGACACCTGTCCACACAAGGCAAACAGGAAAAACTATACAACACAAGAGTTTGTGTTCAGAAAAAACTTCCTACAAGACAAAAAAMAAAGCTAATTCTCAAACAATTATTTAAAGCTACAACCAGCCAACTTAAAAAAAAATAAAATAAAACCAGCAGGTGCAGTGATAGTCTGCAGGAAGACAATCTGTGGTTTGTTTATATAAAACATCTGTTAACACGGCTGCAGAGACAAAGGTGGGATATTTTATATTTATCTAAMTAAAAACTAAAATTATGTGATGATTTGAAGGCCGAATGAAAATGTTGCCATGTWGTGTTCAGGTGCATGCAGTGAGCCACATCCAGGATCAATACTTCTGCAGGCAGGAGGWGGGAAACATTAAAAGCTGCTGTTTCTAAGCGGAGTTCCGCTCTGGAAGGATATGGCCACTCTGTGATCTTCTTGGCATACTTCCGGATGATGTTGTCCTCGCTGAAGATGAAGAGGGAGCGGTTCACCGTCAGGCAGTTCTGTTTGACCGGGATCGGGTTGTAAATAGCCATGGTCCGGGCTCTCTGGGCCATGGTCTGCTTGTACATCCGCTGGCCCCCCGGAGGCCCCGGCTGCCGGCTGGCCCCGGCTCGGGGCGGCCCCGCGGGACAGCTGCCTCCGTAGCGGCTGGATGGTTCGTCTTCGAAGCGGGCCATCGTGGGTCAGAGCAAATCTCACCGAAACTACTGCGAGCAGAGAGGAAATGAAGAAGCATCACCTCCGACACTGAAGTCTCACCGACGGGACTGTAGGACCGGGAGCGGACCGGTCTGCTCCATGCTGCTCAAAGTTCAGAGCCGCTCCATCAGCAGCAGGGTGGTCCTCCTCCGGTCCTCACAGCCGCCAACACTCCGGCTCCATGCCGGGATCAAACACGCCCTGTTCACTCCCTGAAGACCAGCCGGGACATGTCCTCTGTCTTCCTGCTCCTGGAGGCTGGGGTCCGCCCTGAGCTGGAGCTGCTCCTCATCCACAAACCCCTGGTGCCGAGACCCACAGGCTCCACCTGGACCGGCCCTGTTTCCATAGCAACAGGGAAGGAGGCAGAGAGAGAGAGAGAGAGAGAGAGAGAGAGAGAGAGAGAGAGAGAGAGAGAGA